TCCCTCTGTTAATGCAGCCTAGCACTGTGTTGGCCTTTTTGGCAGCTGCAGCACACTGCTGGCTCATATTTAGGTGATTGTCCACTAGGACTCCGAGGTCCCTCTCACAGTTACTACTATTGAGCAAGGTGCCACCTATGCTGTACTTGTGCAATTGGTTTTTCTTGCCTAAATGTAGAACCTTGCTTTTTTCACCATAACTAAGACCTTGCAAGTGTTAAGGAATCTCTGCCCTGATTATTACAACAAACTGAGCCATTTGGTGTAAACCCAACCAGTTATGTATTCAATAATTTTTGATTAAATCAGCCACATGTGGGTCAATTCTGTTGGTAAACCTATTTCATCTTTCTTCAACCTGGGATTTTTCACATATGCAGGAGTACAAGTCCCATTAACAAGCATTCTAGATTAAGAATGTGCTGTTATGGCAGTTTCAGTGTAAAATGAATTACACCTATGAGCAGAAAGCAGAATGTTCACATTCCATGTATCTCATTTCCCCCATCTTTTATTCATACCCTCATTCACACACCTGCTGTTTCATTCTGGATACCACACTAGGATATAGGCATAGGGGGCTAGAATAAATTTAAAAACAGAAATTGAGTAATTGAGCATTATTTTCATAGAAAAGTCCTTTTTTAAAATCTTTGAGCCAGAGGATTGATTTTGACAACATAGAACTGTTAACACAAAAATAAATAAATAAGAGGAATTGAAGACAAATACCTGTACTGATTCCTGCAATGGATGGAAACTAACTAAGGAGAGAACCAACCTAGAACAGAAATTTCCTGACAAAACAATTAATCAGGGGATTAATTAGAAGTTATGGGTGCTCCAACTGGAGACTTTTAAGATGAGACTTGACAGCCATTTGTCTAAAATGGTATAAGGCAGTGGTGGCGAACCTATGGCATGCATGCCAGAGGCGGCATTCAGAGCCCTCTCTGTGGGCACGCGTGCCATGCCACAGAGATGGCAACTATCCCTCTTCAACCAGCTGCCCACTAACTCACCGAGGTCCCACATGGCCGGATGCGTCCTAGCACCCATGCGCTCGCTGGCCACTGTGTGCAGGGGCCGATGGTGTCAGGCAGCAACCGCCCAGGCCCCTGCCTCACCTTGCCCTGTGACAATGGCACCTGCGCCCTGCCTCGCCTTGCCTCACCTCACCCCACAGGACAAGCCTCCTGCCCATCACCCCACCTGCCAGAGACCCCCTGGATCTCCCCCCAACCCTGCCCGGCCCCCACAGGCATCCCTCCCCATAAGCAACGTCGAGGTGATCGCGCCCACCTTGGCCACACCCACTCAGTCTGCCATGACCACCAAGCCATGCCCACCCAGTGGGCCACACCCACCTGGCACCCAGTGATAAATAAGTGGGTTTTGGGTTGCAGTTTGGGCACTCGGTCTCTAAAAGGTTCACCATCACTGGTATAAGGTCTCCTGCTTGAGCAGGGGGTTGGACTAGAAGACCTCCAAGGTCCCTTCCAACTCTGTTATTCTGTTAAATTGAATTCCCAGATTTGTATCTGACATGCCAATTGCCTATGCCTGGAAGACACAGCCTCAAACATCTGAACAGAGCAGCTTCAGGTTGGGGAAATTATCTTTGATGTAGGCAGAAAACTATTGTTAAAAGGTAAAAACATCCCTGACATTCCTGCTAGACAGATCACATATTGATTCCAGCCATCCCTGACGTTCAATAAACCCTAGACAGAAATACAAAAGCACAGCTTAAACTTTTCCCTCTTATTGACACTTGGGCTGAAATTGATTAAACATGTCTTACCTGTTCTCCATCTAAGCTTGGAGCACTTAGAGGAAAGAAATACTCATTTGCCAAAGCTGTTTGTCACCTTCAGTTCGGCATTTAATACTGTACAATCATTCCTCAGCATCTAGCAGACAGATTGGGCCTTTTAGGCTTCAATACTCCTTTGTGCAACAGGATTCTTGATTTTCTTATTGATAGGCCCCAGTATGTGCGAGTTGGGACTAATATTTCTAGCACCGTTTTCTTGAGCACAGGTTCTCCTCACGGTTGCGTCCTAAGTCCGCTGCTGTTCACCCTGTTGACCCATGACTGTTGCGCAAGGTTTGTCACCAACCAAGTATGCGGACGATACAACAGATCACGTGAAGTATTAATACCACTTTACAATGCCTTAGTAAGGCCACACTTGGAATACTGCATCCAGTTTTGGTCACCACGATGTAAAAAAGATGCTGAGACTCTAGAAAGAGTACAGAGAAGAGCAACAAAGATGATTAGGGGACTGGAGGCTAAAACATATAAGGAACGGTTGCTGGAACTGGGTATGTCTAGTTTAACGAAGAGAAGGACGAGGGGGGACATGATAGCAGTGTTCCAATATCTCAGGGGCTGCCACAAAGAAGAGGGAGTCAAACTATTCTCCAAGGCGCCTGAAGGCAGGACGAGAAGCAATGGGTGGAAACTGATCAAGGAGAGAAGCAACCTAGAACTAAGGAGAAACTTCCTGACAGTTAGAACAATTAACCAATGGAACAACCTGCCTCCAGAAGTGGTGAATGCTCCAACACTGGAAGTTTTTAAGAAGAGACTGGACAGCCGCTTGTCTGAAATGGTGTAGGGTTCCTGCCTCGGCAGGGGGTTGGACTCGATGACCTCCAAGGTCCCTTCCAACTTTATTATTATTATTATTATAAACACACCTACATCAAAACCCTTTGTTTGTTTGCCTTATTCAAGATGACAATGAGGGTGCTTACCGTAAGGAGGTAGAGGGTTTGGTAAACTGGTGTAAGAAAAACAGCCTAGTTTTAAACGTTGGGAAAACAAAATCATTGTCGATTTCAGAAAAGGCAGGCACAGCTGCACTCCTTTATGTATTAATGATTCATCTGTGGAGATGGTTAGCAGCATCAAATTTCTGGGTGTGCAGCTAACAAGTAGGCTGGCTTGGTCGCTCAACAGTGAGACACTCGTGAAGTGGGCACAGCAGTGCCTGCATTTTCTGCATCGCATGAGAAAAGTACATCTTCCTTCCCCTGTCCTTACTAATTTTTATAGAGGGACGATCGAGAGCATCCTAACATATTGCATTACAGTCCTGCTTCAGACAGGAAGGCAGTGCAGAGTGGTGAAGATAGCAGAAAAGATTATTGGCAGTTCACTCCCTTCTATCCAGACATATAAGCATTGCTTGAGCAGGGTCCACAGGATTGTCTGGGACACTACACATCCTCTTCACAACCTGTTTGTTACCTTCTGGGAGGAGGCTTCATGGTATCCGAAGCAGAACATCCAGATTAAATCACAATTTTGTTCCATACAGTATTAACCTTGTGAACTCTCAGCCTTGCCTCGCCTTGCCTTACCTTACCTTGCCTTGCCTCGCCTTATCCTATCCTATCCTATCCTATCCTATCCTATCCTATCTTACCTTACCTTACCTTACCATACCTTATTGAAATGAGCCAATACCAGCAACACAAATCAAACCCTAAAAAAGCTCCTCAAAACATTAAAATCCTTTATACACACATTAAAGACTCTCCAGATCTGAACCCATCACCCATGGCAGACACCAACGTATACAAAATATATAAAGATTGTCTCACCCTACATGGTGAGAAGACGTTACTGCCTCCCAGACTCAGTGCAAACCCTCAAGGCAAATCATGCCCACTGTACTAACAAAGCCTTAGTTTTCTGTGCAAATATTTCCAAAACTTTTTAAACGTGGCCCCCTTGGAGAACAGAACTGTTTGACTGTCTTGCTGCCAAATAAATTCTACCTCCACTTCAAGCAGGCATCCTGTGCTCATTTACCTGGCACCGGAACTGACCAGAAGTCCCAGACATCTGGATTTATATTTTGATTTATAATTGATTGGGCACAAGAGGGAAATAGGCATAAGGGCTTTTTGATTTCAGTAACTAAATATAGCATTTTTAAAATATTTACTTGCTGCGCGTCCTTT